ACCAGTCATGAAAAACAATTAAAAGACTGAGATATTGTCACAGCTCAGAGTATTTTAGGAGAACTGGCAACTAAATGGTATCCTGGATTTGATCCTTGGAACAGAAAAAGTTATTGTTGAAAAAACTGGTGACAAAGTAGGGTAGAGAATAAGGAAATTTTCTGTACTGTCTGCAACTTTTCCGTAAATGTGAAATTGTTCCAAAATAAAAAAGTTATTTTTAGTTTGGTGTAGTCCCATTCATTTAGTTTTGTTTTTACTTCCCTTGCCTTTGGGGTCAAGTTCATAAAATCCTCTCTGAGACCAAGGCCCATAAAGTTAGTATCTATGTTTTCTTTTATGTATTTTATTGTTTCAGGTCTTACATTTAGGTCTTTAATCCACTTTTAGTTAAGTTTTATGTATGGTGACAAATAGCAGTGTAGATTCATTCTTTTGCACGTGACTTCCCCAGTTTCCCCAAAACCATGTACTGAAGAGGCTTCCTTTTCGCCATTGTATATTTTTTTTACTCCTTTTTCAAAAATTAGTTGCCCATATATATTTGGGTTTATTTCTGGGCCGTCAGCTCTGTTCCATTGATCTGCGTGTCTGTTTTTCTGCCAATACCATGCTGTTCTGATCATTGTCACTCTGTAGTATAATCTGAAGTCAGGGAGTGTGATTCCTCTGACTTTGTCCTTTTTTTCTCGGTATTACTTTGGCTGTTAGGAGTCCTTTGTGGTTCCATACAAATTTGATCATTTTCATTCTATTTCTTTGAAAAATGAATTGGGATTTTAATGGGGATTGCTAATATATACAATGAAATACTACTCAGCCGTAAGAAAGAATTAAATACTGCCATTTGGAACAACATGCATGGATCTTGAGACTATCATGCTATGTAAAATAAGTCAGAGGGAAAAGGACAAAAACCATATGACTTCACTGATTTGTGAGATGTAAAGCAGAAAGTAACAAATAAACAAACAAAACAAACAAAAAACGCATAGAAACAGACAACAGAAAGGTGGTTACCAGAGGGGCAGGGAGGTGAGAGGAGGATGAAAAAGGTAAAAGGGGTCAAATGTATGGAGATGGACGGAGATTAGACTTTGGGTCGTGAGCACAGAATGCAGTATATAGGTGATGTATTGTAGAATTATACTCTTGAAACTTATGTTAATGTTACTAACCAATATCACCCAATAAATTTATTTTTTTAAAGTTAAAATGTTTAAAAAAAGGAATAGGGGACTTATAGGTTAGAGGAGAATTACGGTTCAAGTATAATGTGGGGACTTTGTTTAGATCCTAATTCAAATAACCAGCTGTTAAAAAAAAAGAACAAAAGACATTAAAAGTTAATTACTTGACATAGACAGGATATTTAATAACATTAAAGAATTACTATTATTTTGGATGTGGGATAATGATATGTGTCATGATTTTCAAAAGTCATTTTTTGGTAACACTAATATATTCATGGATGGGATGATATGATATCTGGGATTGTCATAAAATGATCTGGTAGAAGAAAAAGTGAATGAGTATAAATGTAAAAAACATTGATGATGGGTAATGAGTACATGGCAGTTCATTTAACTATGCTCTCTACTCTTGCATATGCTAGAGATTTTTCATAATCAAATATTTTTGAGTGAAAAGAAAGAAACGACTAAGGGAAATAATTAAAACATTATAATTTTCTCTCTTTGCTGACCACAGACAGGGCTTGTCTCTTAAAAATCAAATCTGAACAGTGTCAGAATGAATAAATCATAGAGAGGTGCATGAACTCTCAAAAACAACCTGAGCAAGATACAATTGATGGTGAATAGATGGGAGAGTGTTAAGAGAAGTGCCTGAATTAGCATAGACCTCCTAAACTGGAGTGCTTTGTTGTTCTTTCTGTGACCTGTGATATCTAAAACTCCTATCTGTGTGAGGATTTGAAAAGCAGAGTGTGGTCAGAGCAGTCCTTTGTTCCTAGTGAATGTTAAGATCAGTAGTTCCTCACCCCCACTCAGTTTTTTTTTTGTTGTTGTCCGGGCACTTTTTTTCTTGGCCGTGTGACTTACAGGATAGGTTACTGTAATATAATGTATTTTCTCTCCTCTGGAAAGTCATTCAGAATCTTTGACTAGTGCAGAATGTACTCTTTTGCTAAAGGGGTCTGTCTCTGCCAGGAGAAGCGTTCTTCTGGGCTTTGTAATTTGCACTGATTACTGGGCTCTATACAGTGGATCACTGGGTGTTGATTGTAATTTATAAAACCTTACACAGCCTGGTCCTGATTAAAGAGGGTCTGGCACTGGTATTAAATTTCAATAACTGAGATTGATCTGGGTGACTTGAAAACATTTTAACAGATTTTAGAACCTGAAATGTTAGGAGTTATTCTTAATGAAGACACATACTCTGGAAATCTACTATTTTTTAGAGGGTACGTTCAGTGTACAGTATTGAACTAAAAAAAAATAGGAAGTTGAAAAGTCGACAGTAGTGCAAAATATTAGGTCCTAGCTCTAACTTTATGCTCCTTAGTCTAATCTGACATGCCTTAAGAATATTTCACTTCCTTAATGCCCATTCTTCCAAACAGTTTCTACCCAGTACTTCACCCCACTATATAGTGACAGAGTTAATGATTTTCTCATGAGGCAGATATGAATAGGAACAGCATTCAAAGACAACTGGTCTCACTTCCAGGTCCATCTTTGGGCCAAGATACGTAGTCGCCAACAGTGAGTTGGCGACTGTATTTTTTGAGTCCTGGCGCAAAGTAAGATCCATCTGTTTTGCCCAGCCGTTTGCCTGAGTGCCACAAAATGATCCTGTTATTAGTCTTATTTGTGGTCCTATTTGAGGTTAGAGGATAATGTAAATAAACTTCGGTCCTCCTTGTGATGAATGTAGCATGGGAATTAAAAGTGGTGGTATTGGTAGTGGTAAGTGATGTTGTGTCTCTATTTTCTCAATTGCTCTGTTTTCTTTGGATGGGGAAACAGACATTTAAGAATGAGTTTGTCATCTGGAAGGATAGTTGTGACCAAGATTCCCTCAACAGGATACAAGATGTTATTTTTGAGCTTCATTACCCTCACCAAGGGGGGGAAAAAAAAGAGAGGGAAAAATAAATAAGGAAGAAAGTGAAAGTGAGGAAGAAACAGGCCGACACAGAGAAGCATAGAGAAAGGTCAAAGAGGAGAAGGAGGAAAGCCATGAGGAGAGGGGGAGAATGAAACTTAGACTGCCTATTCATAGAAATGGCTTTATTATTTTCAAGTGATAGTTCAATGCACTCAACATCTGGTGAATTAAGGAAAAGGAAATCTGACTGATTAAATTGAACTGCTAGTCGTTCAATCGTTTATATATAAATATGCAGCCTAGTTTCCATCACCTTTTCTTGTCTGAACTAGACAGTAAATCAGTTTCACTAACCATATTCAAAACTGGTGAGTAGAACAATATCAATTGGTGATTCAGATTTATGTAAAGGTGGGCAGTTTTTATATTTCTGAATCAGTTATTGGGGATTATTGTTATTCCATATAATTTCCAAGCATGAGTTATTTTTGTCAGTTTCTTTTATAAATGTTTTCTTGCCTTGTAAGGAAATATGTGCACTCCCCTCATCTCATTCAGTTGTCCCGGGTGACGCCTCCATAATTTGTCTTTACACTGGTGCATTTTTTAGTCTAATTCAGGCATGTGAGAAGCAGGGGAAAAGTTTAGTCAATGTCAGTGATTTTTTTGGATCCATTCATGGATAAATTTAGTGAATCCGAAACAGTTTGCATTAAAATCTATATACATCAAATAGACACAATACTCAAAATATTCCTCCATATGCTTCAAGGGAAAAAGAAAACAGAATTTACAAGTGAGAACTAGATGCATTTTCTAATAATAGATGCAATTTCAGGGGTGATTTATGATCATGCTCTCATGTGGAGATTAAAATATTACCTTGCACTAATGTGAAGGTGGACATAAACATACCACTTTAGTTCTACAACTATATAAAAAATGCACTGCCATGCTGTAAAGTAAAAGAAAGATAATTGTATTATCTTCATTTTACATTAAGAAAACTATATATTTCTAAATCCTGTCATGTCAGTTATTTGAAGCTAAAAATAGCGATGACTTAATCAAGTCTTGTTTTTTTTTTAACCGTTATCTTCTTTATAGATGGTGTTGTATGAAGAAAGAAAGGATTGAAAAAAATAGCATGCTGTTTAAAGCACAAATATTTAGGACATACTTGGAGATTTTAATGCTTGAACTCATAATTTCAAGATTAAAAGTATATATTTTAAATATTTTACATATTTACAGTTATTTAAACAAGGAGGTCTGGTTCAAACCCTGATGGCCTTTCTGTGCTGCTTCAAACAGCTGTGGCTGCATGTGACAGGATATACAGTATGATGTGGTATGGGGCACGCTAAACCCACAATACATTGCAGTGGGCATTTTGTATTGCCAGATACGTCCGTTCACCTCTACTTCACCATCTGCCCCACCACAGTCATTTGAAAGTAGTGGATCTAACTTTTGTTTAGAATTCTATTTGAAGTCATGATTTCCCTTTAACAAGTGTATCCAGATCATAGATTTTCTTCTTTAGTCTCTGAAATTAACATTTTATATAATCTTTAGGCTGTGAAATTGTTGTTTAAGAGGTTTTGATTTTTTTTTTAAGTCACAATATTGCTAAAATTCAGAGGCACTGAGCTTCTAGTCATATCATTATGAAGTCCTTAACATGGAGGCATATTTTGTTTTTCAGAGTTGCTTTTCTTTTCCTTTTTAGATCCTTTTCTTTTCATTAAAAAAACTACTCTGGGAAGAGGTTTTTTTTTTTCCTTCTTAACAGAAAAAAAAAAAAGCCACGCTTGACTGATAATGCATTGCTTTGGATGGTGAAACATTATGAAAGTTTAATTTTTAATTAAATCTGAAGTACCAATTATAACTGAAAGAGATTTTAACCTGTTTCTTTTCAGACTGCCTGAAGTTACATTTAGAGACTGAAATCACTGCACCTTAAAAACAAAAGATTGAGCTGCACTGCGTTCCTGTAAGTGAAAGCTTCCTGTACCCTTCCTCTGTGTTTTTGTGACCAACTCAATAAAGGACAAAAATATTGGTAACATAGTAACCAGACAGGAGCAAAAATCTGAATATCCCTGAGAAATATATGTTTAAATGATTTCCTTCTTTAAAAAAAGAAAATTTGTTGGACTTAATATTCAGTGTGTCTTTTATATCCACCCTAAATTGTGAATCCTTTCTTTTAGCTGGTTTGAATTGCATTAGGGAGGGCGTCACCCACTGTGCATCAGCATGGTGACATACACCCTGTCAGGAAGGATTCTTGCATTTTTGTTCACATCTCATTGAAGGTAACAGATTTCTTATGGAATAAAAGTAAATTCCTTTTTCCTTTGTGATGTCATTAGAAATTTTTAGCCTTTGTGTCAATGGAAATGGAAAGTTCATGATGACATCACAAGATTCTGTTGCCTTGAGGACTTTGGGCAAAACTAAGGAAAATGCATAATTCCCTGTGTGCGTGTGTTCCCCATTCTGCTATGAAGCAGTCAAAATAGCACATCTTATGTCTTCCCGTGAGCTACAAGGCTGTCTCTCAGAGCCCCATTGTTCCATAAATGCATGTCAGAGTCTACCACAGTCTGGCCTACCCTTATTTAGCTGCTGTTTTGTCAATGTACTTGGAAGAACAATTAACATTTGGGATTTCAATGTCTGAATAACAGGCAGTGAATAGAACCCGAGCATATAAAAGATTCAGACGCCCTGGGTAAGAAAACAGAAGCTTATAGTTGGTGGGGGAAAAAGGAAAGCATTTTAATGCTGCACTCAAAGGTTGTGAATTACTACAAGGAAAGTCAATCGGGGTTTTTTTTTTCATTAATTTTTAGATCAAAATGTACATTTTGGTAATGAAACCCAGAAGGTTATGATGTCTTCCTAAGTTTTGCTGTTTAATGTAATGCAAGGCCTTTCACTAGAAAGTCCTAAAACACTTAACATTTGTCTCTGAGTCATTGTTGGAAGGCTGGGTGTGGAGCATATGACACTGTGGATTTCAGACTGTCACAGTGCCTGTCCAACAGAGTACGCTAAGGGTGATTCCAACGATTTCTTCCATTTTCACTGTGGTTCTCTACACTCTTTCATTATTGACTATAATTCTTGTGTGTTGACTGTAGACAGTCCTGAAGTTGTTTAAATATCTCTGCCTATTGTTTGAATTCCTGCTGAGGTCCTTTTTTTCTTTTTTTGAGAGAGATGATGCATGGCTAGGGCAAGGTTACCTCACGGTCAGGGTATCCAGAGGGAGCATGGGCTGCTTATGCATGTTGCCAACTGAGCTCAGTGCCTAGCTGGTATGAGTGAATAAATGATGGTTATGGTTATTTTTGTCATAAGTACAACAGTTCAAACCCATAGATGGTAACATCTCTAAAAGCAGTGTCTATTTCTTATTCAGTTTTGTAATCTTCAGGGCTTGGCATAATAATAGTAATCAAGAAATAGCTGTTGTTATTAGTACAATTACAAAATTTGTTAAAAATCAGAACTTCAGGTTTCGTTCTGTCAGAAAATATTTATTATGAAGATGGGTTGAATAAAGTTTTTGACAGTCAGGAAGATAATTATAAAGGAATTTGTCAAAGACAAACCTACTGTTTATCATATCACATTAGGCATTAATTAGTATCCTAGTCTTTCTCCTCTTTGGCTTTACACTTCTTTCTCCTGACCAAAATGAGGTGTGCCCATTTTTTTTTTTTCTGTCTGCGAAATTGTCTTCAGTAATTTTCAATTTAAGTTGTGTGTCTTGCATCCCATGCACTGGAGCTGTCTTCAAAGATAAATTTTCCAAACTCCAGGATAGGTGGTGCTTTGCACCTGTTTGTCTAATTGCCAAGCAGTGGATTGTGCTTCAAGGAAACGAGGAAAATGGTACAATAGGTATTGGGTCAAGAGGCCAGAGCTTTGGGAAGCTGCCATTAGAAACTTCTACTTTCAGTGCATAAAAAGCCAGGACCAGTTGTTCTCAGCATTAATAAGGCCACGGCATTCTTCAGAACTCAGAACCATTTGACCCCGCATAAGTTTAGCTTCCTAGTTTATTCTTACATAAGATTCTCTGCCCTTACCCACCAATTTTAATTTATTTCCAAAAAGGGTTCCTTTATTTTTATTAAATCAGCTTCTGGTGATGCAAATTAAGGTTCTCATAAAACTTAGCCTCTGAGGCAAAACTAAAATGATAAAATTTAGGTTTAGTGAATAGTACTGTTATCATGTTGAGTAACATTTAAGGACATAAAAGAACTTTATAAGCATATTTCACATTTTTTAAGATTAAAAAAATTGAGGTGACAGGGATTTAAGGGCAGAGCATCATCAAACATTGTATGTAGAAAGGATATAAGAAATAACAGTTCATTCATCTCATTTTGAAATAAGTAAGCTGAGGCCCAGTGTAGGGCGTGCAGGTTACGCAAACTGTGCTGACCACCAATGCAGACCATTCTTAGACATCTAGGTCTGAGAGTAGACCTGGATTTAGACTCTGGGGATTTGATCTCTCTGTTATACTCAGGGACTGAGCAGCGTTTCCTAAGCAATGTATTGCCTTCTGCTCATTTTATGAAACCAATTGAACTGTATTTCCCTCCACCAAGTAGTCCAAAATTTATATATAAAGGGGTAGTCTAAACACATTTATTGTTATCAAAACGGTTTTTTTTCCACTTTTTCTATACATTTTGATATCATGCCTCTGATTGTGCAATGAGTCACATAGAAGCAAATTTATTTGGTTCACTTCATATTCTTTATGATGATTTACAAAGTAGACAGAAGACTATTAGAAGCTTCAGTAGTTTAATTGGGCATAGAGGCATGATGAAATCTGAAGTAATCTGAACAGAGCCATTGTGACACAGAATTCAGACTTTGCAAGAGTGTGTAGCATGCATGCATGGTGTCAGAATGTCACTGTTGCCAGGGGTCATTTCTACCATAGGAAAGGTTTTCAGGGCCTGAAAAAAATGAAATAAACTTTAATAATTTAAAATGAAATACTTGTTCTGGTAATTTATTTCAGGTTTCCTTTATTGGATTCTGTCATTTAGCAACCCAAAGATACCAGGGCAGGAACATTTCCATTATTTTACCCAGAGCTAAGTTCTAGACACATCTTAGTTTCTTCCTCAAGTTTATTTTATCTCCTCCAGAACTTCTCAGCCCCAAACATCAAGAAGCTCAAGTCACTATGTACAAAAAATTAATGGCCTAAGTCTTTGTGTCCCAAACAAGGAGGCAATGTTCTGCCTTAAAAACTTCCAGGGAATCTTTGGCATATAGAGAAGAAGGGAGATTTGAAGCCAGAGCAGGACCTTGGAAGTCGGGACTCAGTAAGGTTTTCTCCTTAGACCTCTTTTCTATTTTCTCTATAATAATGAATTGAAATTTATTCTATACCTCTTATGAACAGATAATTTCAGCAGGATACATACATAGATAAATAACACCTGTTTGCTATCATCATAAAGTTCATACTCTATTTGGGCAATAGGTGAATCTTTTTTATAGACAAAGTATTATATGGATAGAGTAGAGGAAAGAATTGGTTTTATTTCTTCTAGACCATTAAGGAATAATATGATATTAACAAGCAGCCCAAGCAGAGGGAGTAATAAAAATGAAAGCGGAGGGAACAGTGAGTAGCAATGGTGTGATCTGAGTATTAGGATGCTGGTTGAGTCCAGTTTTCCAAAGTGTGGGCTGCAGCCCATTTTTAGGTCATGAATTCAGTTTAGAGGATCACAGTCAACATGCTTTTGATGAAATAGAATCAAAGGAAAATAATTTATTAAAAGGGTGTGTTACATATTTTTAAGATAATGGGTTGCAAAATAAAATATACTATTTTTTACTGGAAATCATGCCACCAAAATATGAAAGCACATCTGAAAACAATAGGTATTTTAAACATGCAACTCATGTAATCCTGACTAAGGGACAATATTATTTCTCCCTTTTTTATATATGAGAAAATGAAGGATTAAGCAATTTTTCCAAGGTCATGCAGCAGGTAAATGGTACAGACAGGCTGTAAAAATGGCTGTCATACTCCACATTCATACTCTTCCCATGATTTGACACTGCTTTCCAGGGTTGCATGACTTCAATTATTTCACTATTGATAACTCACACATTTATATCTCTAGTCCTGATTTCTCTCCCAAACTCAAGCCCTATGTTTACAATGTCCTATTTAAACCTTCAACTGGATATCACACTAGTTTCTCAGAGTCAATATATCAATATTGAATTTATCCTCCTAGTTGAAAATCATCATCATTTTGAAAATCCTAAGTTTCTTTACCCCAATTCTCCAGGTCTCTCGACACAAAATATATCATTTTTGGCCTTCCCCCCTCTTCCCTCTCACCAGGTGTCTAATAAGTGGCCAAGTCCTGTTAGTTCTCCTTCTTTGGTACCCCTGTCCTAGCCAGGCTTTCATCTTCTCTTGCCTGCAGTAATACCCTAATTGAAAGAGACAGGGGAAGGGAGACCAGCTCATTCTGCACACTGTTGCCCCATTAGGCTTCCGAAGCAGGAGCCCCAAGATCATGTCACCTTTGTTTAGACAAAGCTGTAATAATTCTATATTAATTACCAAACAATTCCTAGCCAGTATTTATGACATTGTAAAATCGAGTTCTAACGTCATTTCTGATTTGATCTTATGGTGTAATATACCATACACTCAGGCCAAATTTCCTCACCCACCTTCATTGGGGTTGTTTCCATTAATTCCATGAAACCTTCCCTCCCCGACCTTGTCAGAAATAATTCATTCTCCCCCACTCACCCAGCTCACCTAGCACCTGCAGTGCCCCTGCCAACAATCCGATTTTAGACTTCTAGCTTCCAAACCTGGGAGAGAAGAAATTTTTGTTGTTTTCAGTCAACAAGTTTATAGTAATTTGTTATAGCAGCCTAAGAAAAGAATACAGCACATATCTACGCTAT